ACCTGCAGCTGGTGCTGCTGCTGGAGCTGTACAGCGCTCAGGACGTCCATGATTATCTGCGGCCGCTGGCTCTCTGTCTCTGTACTGACCGCGTGTCGTCTGTGCGCTGGACCTCCTACAGACTGGTACTGACACAAACACTCCTCACTCGCTCGCTTTTTCTTTCATCTTTTGTTTTTCTTTATTTTTCCTCCTTTTTTCTTTTTTTTTTTTTACTTTTTGCTCTTAAATGTATTTGTTTGTTCATTCATATTTTATTTTCTTTTTTGTAATTTTTTTCTTTTTAAAATTTCTTTTTAAAATTATTTTGTACTTTTTTTTTTTTCATTTATTTCAATTTTAATTAATTTTCTTTTCCATTTTAATTTTTTTTCCCTTGATCTTTTTTCTTTCCCATTTATTTATTCATTTGCCCTTTTCCTTTTTTTTTTTCAAATTTATTTTAATTTTCTTTGTTCTTTTTTGTTCTTTGTGAGCATGTTTTTGTCTTCATTTTTTGTTCTTTTGTGTTTTTCTGCTTTCTTTTTATCTTTTATTTTTTTAATTTTTTTTATATTTTCTTTCCTTTTATCTTTTTGTTTTTGGTAAACATTTTTATTTTTCCTTTATTTTTTTTAATGCTCCTATTTCTTTCATTATTTGAATCCTGAGTGAATCGTTCTGTTGAGTCGTTCTCAGTGAATCGCTCTGTTGAGTCGTTCTCAGTGAATCGCTCTGTTGAGTCGTTCTCAGTGAATCGCTCTGTTGAGTCGTTCTCAGTGAATCGCTCTGTTGAGTCGTTCTCAGTGAATCGCTCTGTTGAGTCGTTCTCAGTGAATCGCTCTGTTGAGTCGTTCTCAGTGAATCGCTCTGTTGAGTCGTTCTCAGTGAATCGCTCTGTTGAGTCGTTCTCAGTGAATCGCTCTGTTGAGTCGTTCTCAGTGAATCGCTCTGTTGAGTCGTTCTCAGTGAATCGCTCTGTTGAGTCGTTCTCAGTGAATCGCTCTGTTGAGTCGTTCTCAGTGAATCGCTCTGTTGAGTCGTTCTCAGTGAATCGCTCTGTTGAGTCGTTCTCAGTGAATCGCTCTGTTGAGTCGTTCTCAGTGAATCGCTCTGTTGAGTCGTTCTCAGTGAATCGCTCTGTTGAGTCGTTCTCAGTGAATCGCTCAGTGAGTCGTTCTCAGTGAATCGCTCAGTTGAGTCGTTCATGAGTGAATCGCTCTGAGTCGTTCTCAGTGAATCGCTCTCTCGGTGTCTGGTTGTGTGTTGCAGGTGAGCGAGATCATCAGGAAGTTGTCGTCGTGTTCGTCTCTGCTGGTGAGTTTTCTGGGAGAGCTGGTGGAGAAGTTCTGTCACTCTCTGAAGTGGTCCGGTCGTCAGGCGTTCGCCTTCATCTGTCAGGTGAGCCGTGCTCCTCATCTTCATCTTCATCATGGTCACGTGTTGAGTGTGGCTCCTGACGTGTCGTCTCTGCTCAGTTGTCCATAGAGGAGGAGTGTCTGTCTCTGGACCAGTTCTCGGAGCATCTTCTTCCTCCTCTTCTTCAGCTGGCGTCTGATCCGGTTCCTAACGTCCGTGTGCTGCTGGCCAAAACCCTGCGGCAGACGCTGCTGGAGCGAGGTGCGTCCGCATCAGTGACACCTTACTCTCTGCTCTTTCACAGGGTTTGTTTAACCCTAACGTTTTTGCTTACGTTTTTTCTTTTTACTTAATTTTTCCATATTATTCATTTTAGTTTTTCTTTAGTTTCCCCTCTTTATTTTTACTTTAGATTTTTTTCATATTTTTAAAAAGTTTTTGTTTTTATTCATTCATTTTTAATTTTCTTATTTCCGTTTACCTTCTTTCCTTGTTTCTGTTTTTGTTTACTTTTTCATCATTTTAATTCTATTACTTATGTTTTGTCAGTATGTTTTGTCCCAATGTTCTTTTTATTTCTTTCCATATCTTTTTATCTTTGCTTGTCTAATTTTTTTATCGCTTCTATATTTTTACTTGTAGTACTTTTTTGTCTTTTTATTTTCATGTATTTTTTTCCCTTTTAATTAATTTTCCAATTTTTTTATATTTTTTACTATTTTAATTCTTTCTTTGTGCCTTTTTTCTTATTTTCCCCCTCTCTCCTTTATTTATTTGTTTGTATTTTTGTTCTGCACTGCAAAAAATGATTTTCTTAGTATTTTGTCTAGTTTTCTAGTATAAACGTCTAAACATTCTTGAATCAAGATGCATTTACTTGACAGGTAAAATGACTTAAGATATATATATATAAGATTAAAAATGATAAAAATGTTGTAAGCCTTTGCCTAAAACAAGCACAAATATCTGCCAATGTAGTAAGAAAAATAATCTGAATTCAAAGGCTAAACAAGATTATTTTTCTTGCCCCATTAGCAGATATTTGTGCTTGTTTTAACTAACATAATTTTGATCATTTTTTCAGAAAATAAGACATATCTTGAGTCATTTTACTTGTAAAGTAAATTAATGTTGATTCAAGAGTTCTTAGTATTTGTCAATGCTTGTTTGCATGGCTGGTGTTTTCTCTCTCCAGAGTATTTTCTGAGCGCGCTGAACTGCCAGCAGGTGGCGCTGGAGCACACACTCGTGGCGCTGCAGACAGACGTGGATAAAGACGTCAAGTACTTCTCCAGCGTTCACCCCGGCAGCACGCGTCTGAACGAGGACGCCATGAGCAACACGTCCTCCACCTACTGACCCGCTGTCCCAGAATGCACCTCTCTGATTTCACCACAGAAGCCTTAATCATGTCTTCCTTCTCCAGAGAACACTTGACCGGCTGCAGACTCTGATCTCAAGGGCTGAGCGTCGCTCTTTTAATCGCAGCACATTGTTGCGCTGGCGTTTCGTTTCTCGTGTTTTTAACGGATTTCACGAGCTGGACGTTGGATCTCAGATGACTGGAGAGTTTTAATGATTCTGTACATACTGCCGTGTTTTTGATCATGGATAGCGCTGATGTTATTCTCTTAATCAGCCCAATAAAGTTTCACACAAAATCACTGCTGTTGTTCGTTACGCTGGAAACGTGTCTTTGTTTCGAGAACTGTGTGAATGATTTGGATGAATCCGTTATAGTGTGTTAGCGCTCGAGAAAAACTGTAATGCATCAGATATGAACTGATAATTCTACAGAATTTATTAGCATTTTTATATACTTTTACATCTTTTTATTGGTGGAAATGATTAAGGGACAAAAACATGAATTCTGTTGATCAATCATGAGAATCTGAGAGAAAAAAAATGCTAAAGTTTCTTGTTTGTTTTTAACCCTTTAATAACCAGCTTTCATAAAGCCTGAACTGATGAATATGACAACTGGACAAAGTGATACAAAATGGCATGTTAATTTAATGCTACTTTATATACTAATACAGTTTCAAATGTAAAGTTGCATAAATGAGCATTATTAGTTCGTTTGCTCATAATGCATTAATGAACAATAGTATATGAATAAATCAAAATGAATCTAGATCAAAGATTCACAAACTTTTTTTCTCAGAGCTGCAATATTTTCTTGAAGTTCCCCTGAGAGTTTAATGTGTTAAGATGTTTAATATTTCAGTAATTTAATACATTGTTCAGTTCTCCGATGACCTTTAATGGTCACGTTATTGATCAGAACTGAACACTGGATTCGTTCAGTAATTTATCAATATGAACAGCATCAGACGAGAACAGAACCTGAATGAATCAAGCTGGATGATGATGATGATGATGATGATGATGATGATGCTTTACAGCTGGATCTCATCCTGCACTGAACTGAACTGACTCAAACTGAACTGACTCAACACTGAACTGACTCAACACTGAACTGACTCAACACTGAACTGATTCAACACTGAACTGACTCAACACTGAACTGACTCAAGAATTGACTTTTTCCTAATAGATTCCAGATTGTTGCAACATGTAGTTTCAACTGAATACCATAATAGATTATTACCAGATCATGCCCCGGTTTGTCTTCATTTAAATATAAAATATATGTTATTAAACGATCACAAATTTTATGAGTATCTTTCTAACAAGTTTACATCGTTCTTCGAAAATAATGATAAAGATGTATCCGATTCGGTTCTTTGGGAGACAATGAAGGCGGTTATCAGAGGCGATATTAGAGCATATCAAGCAGCTAAGAATAGAGAGAACAAAGCCAAATTAAATGAAATTGACATACAAATAACAAATCTGGAGAGTGAATACAGATCAACTAGTTGTGAGACTACTTTAAAGAAAATGGTTGCACTGAGAAGTGAATATAACTCAATTATTTCTAAGAAAGTGTCGAGACAACTTATGCATATCAAGCAAAGACTGGTGATAAATTAAAGCAGTCTCAGGCAACTCGTGCAATACATAAAATAAAATTGAATAATGGGAAGATAATTGTTGACCCCAAGGAAATGAATCGTTGCTTTGCTGATTTCTATAAAGAAGCACAGCTCAGACTTCAAATCTTTGAATTTAAATCCAACTTTAGAAAGTATTGTTAATGTACACCCTGCTAGTGGTACTGTCAAATTTGAACAAATTATTGGTAGAAAAGGTGGACAATGACACTCACAAAATAAAACATGATTGGGAAGAGGATGGGTGCTTGAGAAATGTACATGTTCTGTAAATGCTAGACACAATTTGATTCAGTTCAAGGTAATTCATAGGCTTCATTATTCTAAATTAAAATTCTAATATAATGCTTTAATGTTCTTGGCTCAAAGTCATGTATTGTACAGTGTTACAGCTAAGGGTGCTCGATGTCGTATTTTTCCTGTATAGTAGCTATTTTGTGACATTGTGTGTGTTGTTTCAAGAAAATTGAAATAAAGAGATTCAAACGGAATCACTGCATCGCTGCCTTCTGTAGAACTGATCATCGCTGAACTGAACTCATCATATTCATGAACTTCACACTCTTATCGATCTGATCTGAATGATGACAATATTTCTCACAGGTCTGTCGAATCTGAACTGACTCCATCACTGATTCTGTAAAGCTGCTTTGAATCAGTCTGTACTGAATAAAGCGCTATAGAAATAAATGCAACGACATGCAGATAAATAACCACTGAACTATTTCTGAGAAGCGTTCTTTCTATTTTCATCAAAGACTTCAAAATGAAAACACACAAATTACAACAGAGTCAGTTTACAATTTGATGAAAGATTATGAAACTATTGGTAACACTTTATTTTAAGGTGTCCTTGTTACACGTTACATGTACTTACTTTTATAATAACAATTAATTATGCATAATTACATGCAAGTAACCCTAAACCAAACCCTAACCATATAGTTAATTAATATTACTCAGTACTTAAATGTGTAGTTACACTGTAACGGAGTGAAACCTAACTTCTGTTTGTTTTTGCAGATCATGCACTAAACTGCAGTAAAACTAGGAACCTGTAAAGTTCACAGCAAGCATTTCAGATCTGATCAAAGCTTTCTCAGCGAACGCTTGTGAGACGGACTCAATGAGCTCTTTGTCTCTCGGTGACTGCATGAGGAAGAACCCATGCCTTCATTAAACAAATCAAACGATGCTTCACTGATTCTCTTCAACAGCAAACACAGACACTGCTCAGTTCTCGCTGGAAAAAACTGCAGACTTTATTCTTTACTGGCAGAGATTTTGCTGAAGACAAACTAAGGATTAAACTCGATATGAAATCAGTCGGTCTTAATAAAGACCTGGACTCATAATAAAAGCCGAATATGAACAATATGCATCTATTCTCTATCATGTTTGGCTACACGTCGATCTGCAAGAATGAAGAGGAGGAGCTGTAAAGCGGGTTCAGAACAGGCAGTTCATGCACCGGACGGCTTTGCTGCCGTAGTCGAGGCACTCGGGGCCGATGCACTCGCAGCAAGCGTTGTGGAACCAGCGGTACTTCGATCCCCCCATCGACTCGCAGTACTGCTTACACTGACGGATGGACACGCAGTCGTCCAAGTACACCACCGTACACAGCTTATCTGCACAGAGACCAGCAGAGAACAGCTTTAACAGCAGCAGCACAGCGAGTCTCTGACAGAGCTCAGGCTTCAGACCGCTCAGAAAACACAAGAAAACTCACGGCTGTAGCAGGAACCTGGACAAAAACACAGCTGCTTTGTCATTTTTCAAAGCAAAAACGGGGCAAAATACAATGGGGGAAAAATGCTAATTTTCTCTTTGATTAAAAAAAAAAGTAAATCTAAAGCCTCACTTCATTAAAAAAATAATCATATATATTAGTGCTGTCAAACGATTAATTGCATCCAAAATAAAAGTTTTTATAACATACTATATGTGTGCTGTGTATATTTGTTATGTATAGATACATACAGTATATATTTTGAAAATATTTACATGTATATATTTAATATATAACATATTTTTCTTAAATATATACACACGTGTGTGTACATATATATGCATAATAAATACACACACAGTACACACACACATATTATGTAAACAAAAACTTTTATTTTGGATGCGATTAATCGTTTAATAACACTAATATAAATCAACTGAATAAAAAGTCCTGGAGGCGTAAAAAAACTCAAATCTGGCATAACTGTTGTTCTGAAGATTCTGTAATAACTCTGTAAAAATCAATGTTTATCAGTTGTTTGCACTTAAAAGATTATATAAATAACTATTAACGTTCATCATTTTAAACGACTCGTTTCTCCTGTTAATTAAATATTACACTACCGGCTCAAAGGTTTTTAATGTTTTTGAGAGAAGTGTCTTTTGTTCACCAAGTCTGATTTATCTGATCAAAAATACAGTAATAATGTGAAATATTATTCTAATGTAAAACAGCTGTGTGAATCTCTGTTAAACTGTAATTGATTTCTGTGATCAAAGCTGAATTTTGTAACTTTTCTGATTATTATCAGTGTTGAAAACAGTTGTGCTGCACAATATTAACTGTGATGCATTACCATTCAAAAGTCTGGAGTAAGTAAATTAATCCTAAACAAGGATGCATTAAATTGATCAAAAGTGTCAGTAAAGACATTTCTAATGTTACAAAAGATTTCTGTTTCAAATAAATGCAGTTCTTTTGAACTTTCTGTTCATCTGTGAATCCTGAAAAATAAAATGTATCACGGTTTCCACAGAAATATTGTGCAGCACGACTGTTTTCAACATTGATAATAATCAGAAATGTTTCTTGAGCAGCAAATCAGCATATTAGAATGATTTCTGAAGATCATGTGACACTGAAGACTGGAGTAATGATGCTGAAAATACAGCTGCGCATCACAGAAATACATTACAGTTTAACAGATATTCACATAGAAAACAGCTGTTTTACATTCTAATAATATTTCAGATTTTTGCTGTATTTTTGATTAAATAAACAGAGCCTTGCTGAGCAGAAGAGACTCTTTCAGAAACATGAATCATGATAATTACTGTAGTGTAAGTGTCAGACTGGTCTGGCGGTGTTTCTGGACACCTGCGCTCCGCTGGACGTCTCATTAGCAGCTCGGCTCGGGGTCAGGAGGTCACGTCCTAACGAGTGAAGCTCAAGCTAACGAGGCTGTGAGCGCTGAAGCTCACCTTGCGTGTCGTAGCTGGCGTGGATGCTGTTGCCGGGCAGAGAGACGTTGTGGTGCGCGTCCTCCAGCGTCTCCAGGAAGGACAGCAGGTTCTGCTGATAGGACAGCTCTTCAGCCGCAGGGAAGGACACCACCATCATGTTGATGGGAGCGTCTCCGTCGGTCAGCGCTCTGAAGAGCGAGGGGATCGGCCGCTGCAGCTCCTCCACCGTGCTCTTAGCCGTCGCCGGCGTGTCGCTCAAGTTCTTGGGGTTACACATGCCTGACATCAGAAACACGGCCAACACATCATGAGTCACGCAGACATACAGCACTTTCTGAAGATCTCAGACTAGATTTAACCCTTAAAAGCGTGTGTGTGTGTGTGTGTGTGTGTGTGAGTGTGTGTGTGTGAATCAATCAGATATGTGAACAGAGAAATGCACGGACTGTGTGAGCAAGCAGTTTGATAAATATGATATATTGACATGCTGCAGCATCAGGAGATCATTCAGATTATGAAGCTGCTGCTGATTCACTGAACTTCAGCTTCGAGCTTCTGTGTGTTTCTTTGAGATCCTTCAAAACCAACAGAAAACACTGAGAATGAGAGACTCTTACCTGAATGAGACACTTGCTGACGTCACTGGCGCACAGAGCTTTATTACACGTCAAAGCGAGAGAAAAACTTGACAGAAGAAGAAACAACACTGAAGATGAAGACGACGAAGGCTGCATTACGAACCGAACCGAACCTACAGGAGCACACTAATGAGAGAGAGACACAGAGACAGACAGAGAGAGAGAGAGAGAGAGAGAGAGAGAGAGAGAGAGAGAGAGAGAGACGCAATAAACAAACAGCTCAAACATCAAAGACAAAGCGCGCCAGACCGACTGACTGAGCGGCGACATCAAAGACTCACAGTGTGAAAGTATCGAGCACGTGTTACATGAAGCTCTCAAACACAGACGCGCGCGAATCTCCAGCGAAACCGTCTGAGGACTCGAGGAGACTCAGAAACTCCAGAAGTTTCTGTCAAACACAAACTCACCGCGACGCAGTGAACACACAACCGCTGCAGATGATTAAAAACACGATCAGACCAGACCTGAACTCAAGCAGACCGGACCAGACTAGACTGAACTACTGCTGCAGAGAGTTACTCTCTCTCTCTCACACACACACACACACACACACACTCTCTCTCTTTCTCTCTCTCTCTCACACACACGCACACACACTCTCTCTCTCTCTCTCTCTCTCTCTCTCTCTCTCTCTCTCTCTCTCTCTCTCTCTCTCTCTCTCTCTCTCTCTCTCTCTCTCTCTCTCTCTCTCTCTCTCTCTCTCTCTCTCTCTCTCTCTCTCTCTCTCTCTCTCTCTCTCTCTCTCTCTCTCTCTCTCTCTCTCTCTCTCTCTCTCTCTCTCTCTCTCTCTCTCTCTCTCTCTCTCTCTCTCTCTCTCTCTCTCTCTCTCTCTCTCTCTCTCTCTCTCTCTCTCTCTCTCTCTCTCTCTCTCTCTCTCTCTCTCTCTCTCTCTCTCTCTCTCTCTCTCTCTCTCTCTCTCTCTCTCTCTCTCTCTCTCTCTCTCTCTCTCTCTCTCTCTCTCTCTCTCTCTCTCTCTCTCTCTCTCTCTCTCTCTCTCTCTCTCTCTCTCTCTCTCTCTCTCTCTCTCTCTCTCTCTCTCTCTCTCTCTCTCTCTCTCTCTCTCTCTCTCTCTCTCTCTCTCTCTCTCTCTCTCTCTCTCTCTCTCTCTCTCTCTCTCTCTCTCTCTCTCTCTCTCTCTCTCTCTCTCTCTCTCTCTCTCTCTCTCTCTCTCTCTCTCTCTCTCTCTCTCTCTCTCTCTCACACACACACTCTCTCTCTCTCAGATTCAGATTCAAGTAGCTTTATTGGCATGGTAAAAAATGATCTTTACATTGCCAAAGCATAGAAACATTTAAATAGACATTTAACACAAATATACATAAGAGTAGAAGTATATAGCATATATAGTCTATATATCTGTATACAGTAAAATGAAAGTACTAATAAAGAGACAGGAGAAGGACTGGATCCTGTCATGTCAGTTTATGTGTGTTGTACAGTGTTTTCTTCCGGCTGTGACTTGTGGTTCTGTTCTACTCCTCGTCCTTTTATCATGGCAGGACTTGACGTACCTCGCCTT